TTTCACCATGTTGACCAGGATGGTCTCGATCTCTTGACCTCGTGATCCACCCGCCTCGGCCTCCCAAAGTGCTGGGATTACAGGCTTGAGCCACCGCGCCCGGCCTATAGCTGACTTTTTCAAAGGAAAACTTATAATCAAATTTTATTACGAGAAGAGAAACTTAATTGGAGGCATCTGATGTCCAGTGATTCCTTGGGTTCTTGTTCTGTGACCCAAGCCTACCCCCTTCTAGAAAGGTCCATCTGGAACTTCTTGGACTTTTTCAACTATGTATGGAGAGCTGCATCAGAAGGTGCTACAAGAGGTCTCTTTTCTCTCAGAAGCCACCAAGTCTCCACCAACTGAAAGAATGGAAATGCAGGCTTGTCATCTACCAGAACCGACTGCCCCAGTGTCTGTGTAGTTTACATCTTGTAGGTTAAGAGCCTTGAGGAAGAGTTACTGAGATAAATAGAAGCTTCAAAAATAGATTTTTAGGTCGGGCACAGTGGTTCATGCTTGCAATCCCAGCACTTTGCGTGGCCAAGGAGGCCTGAGGCCAGGAGTTTGAGACCAGCCTGGACAACATGGTGAAACCCTGTCTCTACTAAAAAACACAAAAATTAGTCAGGTCTGGTGGCACATGCCTATAATCCCAGCTACTTGGGGGGCTGAGGGAGGAGAATTTCTTACACCTGGGTGGCAAAGGTTGCAGTGACTCGAGACAGGGCCATTGCACTCCAGCCTGGATGACAGAGCAAGACTCTGTCTCAAAAAAAAAAAAAGATTTTTAAAAAGCCGGGTTTATTGAGGTATAATTTACACAGAAACATTCACTTTTTAAAGGTATCAGATGGATTTTTAAATGTGGCAGAAGAAGGATAGAGCTAGAATGCCATGCAAATAGATCAGGAATGAACCCTGGACCTGCATGTCTCAAAGAGAATGAAGGCGTTGGAATGGGACCAGGTGCCACAGGGAAGAGCCTGCCTCACTTCCACAACCACTGGTGGGCATGAATTGAACACACCGAGCCAGGGGGCAAAAGGACCCTTAAAACTCAGTCTAATCAGCTTTCACATGAGTAAATGGAGACTGCCCAGGAACTTGGTAACCTCTGGAGACTTGCCAGACCAGTCTTTACAACAGGATGAACAGTTCTCACATGGTGTCTCAAGCTCACCAGGCCCAGGGAGCCTCGGTCTGTCCATGAGGGCTGGCTGACTGCAGCCCTTTTGCAACTCATCATAAGAGACAAGGGAAGGCCAGGCACGGTGGCTCAAGACTGTAATACCAGCACTGTGGGAGGCCGAGGCGGGTGGATCACGAGGTCAAGAGATCGAGACCATCCTGGTCAACATGGTGAAACCCCGTCTCTACTAAAAATACGAAAAATTAGCTGGGCATGGTGGCGTGTGCCTGTAATCCCAGCAACTTAGGAGGCTGGGGCAGGAGAATTGCCTGAACCCGGGAGGCGGAGGTTGCGGTGAGCCGAGATCGCGCCATTGCACTCCAGCCTGGGTAACAAGAGGGAAACTCCGTCTCAAAAAAAAAAAAAAAAAAAAAAAAGATACAAGGGAACCATGGTTCACTCTGAGCTTTCCTTTATGCTCTTCAACAACCCAGTTAGATGCCCCTGGAGGGGAGTACCCATGCCTCATCTACCTTTTCCCAAGAAATGTCTATGGTTGCTGCTGCTACAAGGGAAGACTGGGCTTTCCAATCTCTATTCCTTGTTCTTGAGGCTGGGCTACCGCAAAGATAATCACTTTGATCTTCACTAGCAACTCCTAACACAGGTCTATCATTAAAATAGCAGACAGATTATTTTACTCTTTTTTTTTTTTTTTTTTTTTTTGAGACAGAGTCTCACTCTGTCGCCCAGGCTGGAGTGCAGTGGCCAGAGTGCAGTGGTCAGATCTTGGCTCCTGCAACTTCTGCCTCCCGGGTTCAAGCGATTCTCCTGCTTCAGCCACCCGAGTAGCTGGAATTATAGATGCACACCACCAAGCCCAGCTAATTTTTGTATTTTTAGTAGAGATGGGGTTTCACCATGTTG